AACAAGGCCAATTTAACAAATGCCCCAATTATATTTGACTTGTAAAGTTGAACTCTCTGTTTATCCATTTTACAATTCAAAAGATATATTACGAAATTTATTATTAATACTTCAATGCAATCCTGTATTATTGCAAAAATACAACCAAAGTTTTATTTGAAATAACAATAAAACACAGTACTAGTCTTTTTAGCACCATATCCTCTCGTCCAAAACCCGTTAGCTCCAACAGAAACTAAGTGCTTGTTCGGAAAATGAATCCCAAAAAATGTGTGAATAACTTCAAATTATATGTAGATAATCATTTTACCGAAACACGAAGTAAATTAATAATCAATACTCGGTCGAACCAACTGGTGACCCGTTACGTTACACATTATTTTTTTATTTTAAAATATTTTTTTATTTGATTTGCATCTAGCAATGATTTGCCATTTTGCCTATTGAACCCGGTCGAACCAACTGGTGACCCATCAATCTTATACTTTGATCTAAGTCGAGTCTAATAACTATGGTGTTTAAGGGAAAATAAAAATAAAAAGAAGCTATAAACTTCTCACTTGCCATATCAATACGTACCATGCAATAAGGGCTTGTTTGGCAGGGGTTTAAAAAAGCAACTTTTGAGACTAAAAAGTTATTTTTGAACATATTAAGATATTTTATTAAAAATACCATGTCTGGCTGGATAAGTTTTTAAAGGAGGCTAATCAAGTGCGTGTTCGGTAGATATTAAAATCAAATTAAAATTGAAAAATTAGTTATTATTGTTGACTTTTATTAGACGAGTGGGACCCAATAACGGCTATATTTTCAATTTTAATTGAATTTTAATCTTCACCAAACAAGCACCTACGATAGTTTCCTCATGAAACTCTCTTACAAGAAACAGAAACCATGCCAAACAAGGCCTAAATATACCACCTTCAACGCAAGAATTTATTCATCCAAGTATGAAGTCATCTATAAAGTATACTGTCGTACAATCTTCAAAAATGTACCCTCGAGATTATTCTGTTCTGAAAATGGCCGTGCATAAAATATAAGTTCAACAGTTGAGACCTTAGATATATCTTCGAGCAGGAGAATGCAGAATTATTTTTGTTTTTCTACTCTGTGTTGCTTTATCTCTTGAATTACGCCATCTGCAAGTGAATCAGTATCTACATTCTTCCCGAAAAACTTGACAAATTGCATATTTGGGTCCATCAGATACCTGCAACATTTTCAAACCGTATTCACAAGATAAATTGATGATTTTATTCCAATATGTGACGAGATTCTAGTTTTGGATAGTTCAATCTTTTCAATCTCGTTAGAACTGCCGTTTTTCACTCCAAGATTAACCTCACAAAAGGTCCAAAATTTTGCACGAAAATGGTTGAAAACACTCATTAAATCAGGAAAAAAAAGAGAGAGAAAAAAAAAGGAGAAATGAATAGCTTTCAATATCAGAACTAGTCTCCTCCATAGAACCTAAGAAGCACCGATACGAATATATAATTCAGACACAAGACGATACGGATACATCGATGCGACTTTTTTGAAAAAATTAGGATACGATGATACATATTATAAAATTCAAGATAATTTTATTTATATAAAAAAAATTAATAGAGAAACATGATAATAAAAATAAAATAAAATAATAAAGAAATTTATCTTAATCATTAATTGTCGAAATTTCATTCTCTTCAACATTAACATCAATTTCTTCGTTCTTATTAAAAACAACACTTTATAGCTCCGGTTTATCTACTAATAGATTAGCAACTTTAAGTAGTCCAACACCTTCAAATGTATCAAATGAGTCTCCGATAATGTCCCATATTTTAGATTCTCATTTTAAATAGATATCTAATTTTCTTGATAAAAGACACAAATTCCTATGAATGAAAACCAATTTTCCAGCTCATTGTAAAGTTATTTTTTTGCCTTCTTGTAGCAAAGGTGCACGTGAACAATGAAGTATCGTATACATATCGAAAATCATACAAAAATATAAAATAATTAAAAAATATGTATCAAAATTTTAAAAAATATAAAAAATATAAAAAATATATATATCTGGTACGTATCGGAGGGAGCTTGGATACATAAAGGATACGGGTATGTAATAAGTTTACAAGTATCGGTACTTCTTAGCATAGGTCCACCACTATGTCCATTTCTGTTTGGCTATCCCATTAGGCACTTTGACATTGCACGTCCTTCCTAAAAACCCCATAGCTATTGTGGACATGGTTTAAAAATGCAGTAGTGAGGCGTGCCTTGAGGCCCGCCTTACTGTAAGGCGCATGTAGTATGCTTCGAGGCGGTATTTTTTAGGCTAAAAATATGATGCTCGAGCCTCTAAATCAGAGGCTCACGCCTCAAGGAGCGCCTCATTTAAAATTTGATTTTTCAATTGTATAAAGAGAAATCAGAAAGGGTCCTTCTTAAAAAAAGAAAAGGCCCATTTAAAAATGCATTTTGGGCCCAAACAAAACAATAAAATACCTAGAAAACTAAACGGCAGCCAGAAATTAGAGGACCAAAAACGAACAAATTCAACAGAAATTCAAAAGTCAGAAATTTTTTTTTTTTTTTATAACCGTGGATGTCCGGGCCAACTTGTGCACACC